GAGTGTATGATCTTCTTGATGACTCTCTGTATTCCATTTGCCAGCATCTTATTGAGGATTTTTGCATCTATGTTCATTAGGGAGATTGACCTGTAGTTCTCTTTTTGGGTTGGGTCTTTCTCTGCTTTTGGAATCCAAGTAACACTTGCTTCCAGGAATGAATTTGGAAATATTGCTTCCCTTTCAACTTCATTGAAGAGTTTAAAGAATAGTGGCAGTAGTTCTTCTCTAACTGTCTTGTAGAATTCAGCAGTGAAGCCATCAGGACCTGGGCTTTTCTTTGTTGGTAAATTTTTAATTACGTTTTTATTTTCACTGATTGTAATTGGGGTGTTTAGAATCTTTATATCTTCTTCATTCAGCTTTGGTAATTCATATGTATCTTGGAATCTGTCCATTTCTTCTGTGTTTTCCATTTTATTAGTGTACAGGTTCTCAAAGCAGGTATTGATGATCCTCTGGATTTCTGCTGGATCTGTTGTGACTTTTTCTTTTTCGTTCCTAATTGCATGGATTTGAGCCTTTTTGTTCCTTTTTTTTTCTCAAGCTTGGCTAAGCGTTTATCAATTTTATTTATTCTTTCAAAAAACCAACTCTTTGATTTATTTTTTTTTTCTATCATTCTGAGTCTCCATTGCATTGATTTCTGCTCTGATCTTTATAATTTCCTCCCTTGTATGAGCTTCGGGTTTGTTTTGCTCTTCTTTTTCCTTTAAGGTTCAGCATTAGGTTGTTTATTTGAGCTTGCTCTGTTTTCCTAGTATGGGCATTCACTGCTATGAATTTCCCTTGCACAACTGCTTTCACTGTGTCTCATAGATTCCTGTACGTTGTATTTGCATTATCATTTAATTGTAGAAACTGTCTAATTTCTTCTTTAATTTCCTCTGTGACCCATTGGTTGTTCAGGAGAGTATTATTCAATTTCCATGTGTTTGTGAAGTTCTTGTGGTTTCTTATGCTCCAATAGGATATTATTGTCATGAAAAATTTTAAACCTGCAACAACATATATTGCTAAGGGATAAGTAGAGAAATAAATATAACCAATGGGCAGGAATGATATAGACCAATACTGGACGGTGTTTACATCAGTGGGAGGATATACACAGGCTTCAACAATAGTTATATAATTCTTTATGCCCTGTCATATGTCTGCAATGCTTCATAATAAATTAAACAACTTTTTACCAAATGACAAAGTTCTATGCCAGCCAGATTTAATGTAATTTTGATGGTTACATGAGACTGACACATAACAAGAATATTTTGGTAGTGCTACATTGCTTTACAAGGCTTTACTTTGAGAAGAGAGCCCCAGAGCAACATGTTTCAGAAGGGAGGAAGCCTGGAGAATTTGTTCCTCAGGACTGGGTTCAGAATGCTCAGCAAGTGAGGCACTAGACCCTTACAGCCAAAAGAGAAGAAACCTGGCTACTGCTCCAGCTGGCAGCAGACCTTGATGTCATCCACATAGTATTGCTTTTAGTTGCATGCAGAATGCAGGAGTTATAGGGTCAGGAAGGCTTCAACCCAGATTTCAGAAAAAGACCAGGGAGGCCAGACAGGTGCCCTGGGGAAGGGAAGTATGTGAAGCTATGAGTATGAAGCTGAAGGTGCAGTGGAGATTCCAGAAGGTCAGAAAAACCAGAAATATGGATCATCTGAAGAAAATTGCAAGGAGGGAGCAGGACCAACTCTAGAGAGAAGCCTTCAGAGCTGCCACCATACACAAGTGCGATAGGGGCAGAGCCACCAAAGCCATTTGGAATTCACATCTTGCTGCAGATTGCCTCAGCTGCTGGACATGGAACTATAGGACTCAATGTTTTCCTTGCTGGATTCTGGACTCTCCTTGGTTCCATTCCTTTCTATCCCCCTATTTGTACCTTTTGGAATGGTTATGTTTTTCTTATGCCATTGTATGTTGGAAGTGTTCAACTTTTCATTTGTTTAGAGGCTCCTAGCTAAGAGTTTGCCTTAAATCTCAGGGGACTTTGGACTTAAGACTTTTCAGCAATGCTGAAGCTGTTAGGACTTTGGCAACTCTTAGCAATGGATTAAATACCTTTTGAATACAAAGGATGTACATGAGTGTTTGGGGGGCCAGGGGTAGACTGTTATGGCTTGTCTAGATATCTCCTCCAAGCCTCATGTGGTCATAGGTGGAGCTTTTTGGAGGTGGCTGGATCTAGGATGTGTGCTTCAGGATCAAAGATGTAATGCTAGGACTGATTCTTGGTGTGATGCTAGGATTAAGGCTACCCCACCCTGGATGTGAGGACTACCCGCCCTAAAGGTGAGTATTCTGGATAAGACCTAAGGGACAGAAAGAGAGTCACTGCTTGTCACTTGTTGGTTGCTGCCTTCTGCCCACCATGAACTATTTCTCCTATGTGATGCCCTCTGCCATGCCACCCTGGATTACAGCCAGCCAACTATGAACTGAAACCTCTACAAACTGTGAGCAAAATAACCCTTTCCTTCTTTAAAAATTAAAAAAAAAAGGTCAACTCTTCAAGCCATAGGCATAGTCAAAGACTATGAGCCCAAGTTATACAAGAAACAGAAGAATCAACATATTGGATCATATCAAAGTAAAAAAGTTTCTGTACAGCAAAGGAAACAAGCAACAGAGTGAAGAGACACCCTACAAAATGGGAAAAAAATCGGGCTGGGGATTTAGCTAAGTGGTTCTGCCACCTGCCTTGAAAGCCCAAGGTCCTGAGTTCAATCCCCAGTACCAAAAAAAAAGGGATAAATAATAGGGAGTAAGGAGATCTTTTTCAAATAGTAAGGGAAACAAGATGGAGGGAGGGGGAGAGAGGAAGAGATTTAAAAAAGAGGGAATTGAAAAAAAATGCAAAGAGAGCTTTTACACATGTAAAGGGTAAAAAGAATTGAAGGTAAAGGCCGGGGATTTAGCTCAGTGGTTTCACCGCCTGCTGCGCAAGTGCAAGGACCCGAGTTCAATCCCTGGGACCAAAAAAAAAAAAAAAAAAAGAATTGAAGGTAAAAAGAATGGGAGGGGAAGGGACCAAAAAAGATTTAAGATATGTTATGTACATATACAAACTCCCCAAGATAAATGTAACCATTACATACTGCAAATATGTACTGATTTAAAAAAAAAAAAGTTCAAGTTCCAACACAACCTGGGGTATGTAATGAGACCCTGTGTTAAAAAAAAAAAAAAAAAGACAAGAAAAATTCATTGCTTTGGTTTTGTTCAGAAAGACAAAACGCCTATTTCATTTTTGGGTTTTTGGGTTTTTTTTTTTTGGTACTGGGGATCGAACTCGGGTCCTTGCACTTGCAAGGCAGGCACCGGAACCACTGAGCTAAATCCCCAGCCCACCTATTTCATTTTTGATATTTAAATACAAAAAACATTTTCTATTTGTGCATTATTTATCAAATATATCATTTTTTGTCTACTGTTAATCCAGTGGTTCTGTTTAGAAAACCCTCTATGGTATGGAAAAAAAGAAAACACAGGCTTGTAGAAATGACAGATCATTTAGGTCTACTGCTTCATTTTACACATGACAAACCTGAGATACTGACATTAAGTAACTTATTTGAAAATTACATGACTAACAGTATTTATGTTACATAAGATATATGTGGAAACTTATTACAGTTATAGTATTTAAGGTCACTATAGATTTGTACATACCACAAGAAATATATTGAATTTTGTTTCTAAAAATACTAAATATGAGTCTTATAGTCCTGGATTTTAAGATTATGAGTTTTTCTTTGGGGGGATACAAAATTAGATCTATATTCTTACTTGGTAAGAGTAGAAAAAGCAGTTTTTAGAATCTGAATGCTAGTTCTGTTACAGCTTGTGTTCAGATGTCTCCCCAAAGGCTCAAGTGGTCACGGTGGGGCTTTTTCTGGAATTGATTCATGATGCAATGCTAGGCTCAAGGGCGCTAGGATTAAGGGTATGAGTGCTACCCGCCCTAAGTAGTCTGCATAGAAGGGGCAGAAAGATGCTATTGAGGTCCTTGTTGCTTTTGCTGTCTTCCACCACCATGAACTGTTGCCCCTCTGCCAAGTGCCACCTAGCCTTGGAGCCAGCTGATTATGGGCTGAAACCTCTACAAACTGGGAGCTTTAACTTTGGGTCTCAGGTATTTTGTCTCAGCAATGAGAAAAGTAGCTAAGACAGTTCCCAATACTTAGCTATTGCTGTGGATTGGATATAAATTGAGTGTGTCTCCCAATGTTTCATGCTGGAAGATTGGGCTCCAGTATTGCAGTATTGAGAGGTAGTTGAATCTTTAAGATGTAAAGCCTTGTGGAAGGCTACTGGGTTAGGGGAGTATAAATCCTAGGAAAGAATTAATGCTAGTATCAGGAGTGAGCGAGTTTCCCAAGAGGGGGTTGTTACAAAAGCCAACCCATGTGCTTGGCCCCAGCTATACCCAGCCATTTCCCTTTCTATTTTCTGCCATGGGGGCCCTCACCAGAGACCAAACAGGGCCTCTTGATTGTACTTATAGCCTCTAGATCATAAACTAAATAACCCTCTTTTCTTTATTAAGTACCCACATCAAGCATTCTGCTATAATAATACAAAATGGACTAAGACAGCTGTGTACTGACAATTGTCACTGTTTTCTCATCAGTAAGAAGAGATTCTACCATACCCAGGGTGTGAAAAATGATAGGAATACTAAACATACATCCCACTTGCAGAAGTCCCTTACTTTTGATTAAAAACAGAAAGGTATTCCTTGATACATTTTCATTATAAATTAATGAAACCAAATCAACCAAAATGACTTAAACAGTCCCCTTTATGACTCAATGATGAATAGTTATGAATGCCATATCAATTTCTGAGGCCTAAATAATAGATAAATTACATCAAAAGCTTCGATCATTTTATAATATGAAATATAATTGATAATCCTAAAACTTCTTAATTAGGATACTATAACTGACCATTTTCTGTGTTTAAAAAAGAACATTCTTAAAACTACTTACATCTGGTTGAATAGCTTTAAATACTGGGATATCCATTAGTGTTATCTGACCCTGAAATAAAAAAGTGAAAAAAAATGACTATTTCTTTTTTGGAACTCTGTGATATGTGATATATTCTAAACAAAAATTAGGGGCTGGGGATAAAGCTCAGTGGTAGAGTACTTGCTTAGCATATGATCCCCAGCACTGCAAAAAACAAAAAAAATTACACTATATTCTAAAATATTACTGAATATTCAATTTTATAAGGCCTGATAGAAAGTTTTAAAAAATTAGTCCCAGTACCATTAAATATACTTATTTTTAATTATTTTATGCCTGTTTACAGGCATTTATGAAAAACGAGGAAAAGTTAGAAAACAAAAAATACAAAATTTGGACAAAGGGGCATACACGAAATCAAAAACAAAACCAGATAGTCCATAAAGCACTGTCCTTGTTATAAAGATTAAATTACTGCTCTTGAAATAGTAACATAAAATCTATTATCAATAAAAGATGTTTTCATCTTAATTCATAAAAAGCAATGAGATTATGGCCAGGCATGGTGGTACACACCTGTAATCCCTAGCTACTCAGGAAGCAGAAGCAGGAGGATTCACAAATACAAGGGCAGATCAGGCAACTTAGTGAGACCTTGTCTCAAAATTGAAATTTTAAAAATGAGCAGCAGCAGAGTGCTTGCCTACACACACATAGCCCTGGGTTCAATTCCCTGTACCACAAAAATCAAAAAGTAATGAGACAACACTAAATGTAACACATTATGACTTTATATGCTACGGGCCTATCTCACATATGGTTGTAGATATAAAACAAAATGCAACAAATGTATAGATCAATTATATGACCAAGTATAATTTATTCCTTGAATGCAAGAATAGTTCAGCATCAGAAAAATCAATGTATTCTATTGACAAATTAAATAAAAATGAGAACATAAATTAACACTAATGTCAGTTAAGAAATAAAAAGATTTTCTAAATACCCTTCATGATATTCTAATGATGCCTTCCGGTTCATTTTTAATTTTTAACAAAAAGAATAAAAATACTTCTCAGATAAATCAATAAAGTAGTATAGACTGATGAAAGTACTTATTATTACCAAATTGAAGATTTAATTTATGAAGCTACCCTCCAAAATACAAAAATTCTTATACTCCCCACCCTATCTTATTTATGCCATAGATTTGCTAGTCTCCCCCAAATTTTCCATAAGCATTTTAAAAACCATCTTCTCTGCTACAAAATCTAATTCGACAGCACCAATATGTAAATTATGTGCAAAATCTGAAAAAGGAAAAGGCAGGAAACTTACCGCATATTCTTCTGGTGTAACCTTAAGAACATCAAATACCACCGCATCAAAGCTTTTCTTCAGTTCAGAACCTTTGTCACTTAATGATTCAGAGCTGCTACTTTTCTGTTAATTGAAAGAAAATGCAGCTATTTTAGTACTGTCTCACAGTCAATGTCATAGAAACTAGTCACCAAATGTCTAGAAACTAGAAACAGGAAGCTAAGAACAGTGGGCTAGGAAAGACTGTATGTAGAAAAGGTGAGACATGCTCCTTAGCTGGAAGAGTATGAAAGGGTCAGACAATCTGAAATCTAACCTCAGGTTCAGATTTTAGGTTCCTGAATAAGTCATTTTATTGTGTTCATTTTTTTAACCATGCATTCTATCATTTCCTACAGAAATAAAGCTAGTTTAATGATTCTTTTTTTTTTTGGTGCCGGGGATCGAACTCGGGTCCTTGCGCTTGCGGAGCAGGTGGCGAAACTACTGAGCTAAATCCCCGGGCCAACTTTAATGATTCTTAAGTAGGATAAAAGAAGGTAAGGAAAGATATCCGTCCATGATTGTGTCACTTAAAAGATAAAGATAACCTCAGAGAAATGCATTTTTAAATAATTATGTTATCATGTAAACATCACAGAGTACACTTAGACAAAATATAACAGCTAGAAGACATAATCCTGTAGGACCCACTATTGTATATTCAGTCCACTGTTGACCAGAATGTCATCATGCACAGAATGACTGTTTATAATTTTTAAACTGATTTTTATTTTTTTAAAAAAAGACGTTACTTTTGTAACATAAACCTAAGAGAATATTCAGAACTCCACTAATTAGTCATATTATTTATTAAGTGATTCTATCTTTGAAGTCCAATTGATATTGCTCTTCATATACATTACAAATTCATATGTTTTCTGCTTTAAGATTACTGGGTTTTAAGTCTGAATATGCTGCTGCTACTACAGAATAAAAGGTAGTGTGGGGCCCTAAAAATCTTTTTACTATTAAATTTCCACTTCATCTGTGCCATGATAGAAAAATACATTCTGCATCAACTGAATTCAGAGGATCATCAGTACAAGAACACTTAGAACAGTCTATTCAATGATGCTAGTATATAAGGCTACAATTAACAGCACAAACAACCAAAGTTTCAATCATGAGAGCATACACCTGTCATCAGCTATTATTATACAACAATTTTGAGCACTTACTATTATGCCTCATTTTTTGGGTTTTTTTTGGTACCAGGGATCGAACTCGGGTCCTTGCGCTTGTGTACCAGGCGGCGAAACCAGAGCTAAATCCCTGGCCCTATGCCTCATTTTTATATTATCCCCTTTTACTAGCAGCTAAATATCAAGTATGGAGCCATAATCACTACAAAAAAGGGACTGCCATTAATTTTGGAAAATTCTCAAAAATTATTACTTCAAATATTTCTCTTGGTCCTTCCTCTTTTCTGCTATTCTCCTTATGTGTATTTACTTCTATTGTCATTGTCCCACAATCCTTGGTTATTCTCAATTTGTAATAGTTTTAATATTCTTTGTATTATCCATTCTTACTCTTGCCTACTTTTTTCCTTTAGAGTTCAAATTTAATGACAGTTATGTAATTCCCAGTTGGTAATTCCAAAATCTGCCATATGTGAGTCTTGTTCTCTTGATTTATCTCTTCAAACTATGTTTTTCTTTGCCTTTTAGCATGCCTTGTAACCTTCTGCTGAAAGCTAGATAAGATATACTGGGTAAAAGGAACTGAGGTTAAAAAGGCCTTTAATGTGGGCTGGGGATTTAGCTCAGTGGTTCTGCCACCTGCCTTACAAGCGCAAGGTCCCAAGTTCGATCCCCAGTACAAAAAAAAAAAAAAAAAAAAAAGGCCTTTAATATAAGTGTTTATGTTCACATGCTAGGGGTTATGCTGTATTTACACTAAGGTGATGCTGAGTCTTCAATTTACCCTAGTATTTTTTTTTTTCCCGTCTTTGGGTTTACCTAGAAACTGCTTCTTAGGGTTTTAGTCTTGTAGCTCTTTCGGCTATATCATGTTACCATGCAGGAGCCTGTTAATGTAGTGGTAAAGTGTAGGAGGGGAAGCATCTTATGGTCCCATGATTTGGTTTCAGTCATTTTGTGAGCCTGCTTTCCTAGACTGTAATCTTGACAAATGCTTCTATGTCCCACTCACTCCACTTAGGTAAGACAGGGAGTCTAGAGGGGCCTGAAGTTGGGTTTCTTCCGCTAAGTAGATTAGGTTCTGTAAAGTAGCTTCCCTTGAGGCAGGTGGTGTACACAATGCTCTAGGCCAATGACAGCAAACATTTTAGAGGTTTCAATGATAACAAACAGCTGGATGTGGCATGCATGCCACAGGTTTGCCACCACTGCTCTAGGCATATATTTTAAAATAGCTATCTTTTCTTAGTATTTCAAATGGCTACTTTCCCCATGTCCCTGCTAGAAGGGGAAGGGGATTTTTTTCTCATTGTGAGTCCTTGGTAGATATCCTAAAAGTAAGAAAAATTACTAAAAACATGGTAAGGGAGGTCTAAGACTAGGCCTCTAGTTGTTTTTAACTCTCAATCTAGACTACCTTAGGCTTTAGCATTTGCCAAGTTATAGTTCATTCCTGGCCCATGACTTCTGCTCCTGTTTTCTATCTTCCTGTCACTCTGTTTTCAGGGTACCACTGTTTGCTCTGTAACAACTCTCTGACAGAGCTAAAGAAAGTTACTGACTTTCAGAATGTTTAGCTTTTTTCCTATTGTGATGACAGGAGTGAGGAATTCCAAGTTTACAAATCAAAGCAGAAAATCACAAGTTCCCCAAATAAGAGTACTTTATTCCAGGTGTTTAATCTCTATAACTATGACTAATTTACAGTGTGTCAATATTTTATGTACTACAAGTAAAACAGAAATTTACTTATATTTAGTATTCAAACAGACACTAGTTAAAAAGCATACACTAATCCACTAACTGTCCATATACATATATATATATACACACACACACACACATATATATATATATATGTATGTGTATATATAGTGGACCCTCGAGTTATGACCAGCCTCACATACAAAGCTTGAGTTACAACTGGAATTTTAGCTTTAACTTACAACCAAAGTCTTGAGTTATGACCCAAATGCCAGCCACTTGTGTGGTTGTAAGCAAGGACTTGCAATGCCAGAAAGGCATATGTAAGCATATATAAGTGTAAGGTCTGAGTCCAGATGTGTGTTTGTGGATATGATTTTGGTCAGTGCTTTATATAATTACTACAATTACTATTACCAAAATGGCTCCCCAAAAGCTAGAAAAGAAGAAAAGGAAGGTAAAAAAAAGCAATCACCACTGAAAAGAAGAAGGAAATTGTGGAGAAATACAAAGAGTGGCATTTGCGTGAACAATCTTGCTAATATATACAGCATGATGAAATCCACCATCTCTACAAACTTACAGAGAAAAGATTTGTATAAGGAAGCTTGTGTTCCTAAAGGTGTTACTCAAATTATTAAGTCACAATCAATAGTGTTAGACAAGGTAGAAAGGCTGTTATTTGTGTGGACAAATGAAAGGCACATGGCAGGTTATAGCATGAGTCTATAATTTGTGAAAAAGCTAGGGCTATAAATGCAGATCTTGTAAAGGACAATGGTGAAAATTTCATGCCAGTAAAGGGTGGTTTCACAATTTTAAAGCGAGAACTGGGGTTCACAGCATAAGTAGGCATGGTGAAGCAGTCAATGCTGATAAAAGGGCTGCTGAAAATTACATATACCACTTCAAAACCATGACACAGAGAAATGGCTTTTGCTGTCAACAAGTTTTCAACTCTGATGAAACTTGCCTTTCCTGGAAGAAAATGCCTAAGAAAACACACATTACCCAGGAAGAGAAGAAAATGCCAGCCCATAAGACTATGAAGGATAGGCTAACTTTATTGCTATGTGCCAATGCCAAGTGGTGACTTCAAAATAAAACTTCTCTTGATTTATCACTCTAAGACTCCCAGAGTGTTCGGAAAACATAAAGTCATGAAGAATACGCTAGAGGTCATGTGGAGATCTAACACAAAAGCTTGGGTAACAAGAGTACTTTTTTTTGCGTGGATCAGGGAGGCTTTTGTCCTATGTTAAGAAATATCTAGAGGACAACGGTTTACCACTCAAGGCTCTCCTCATCATGGACAGTGTTCCTGCTCACCTACGGAATATGGAAGAAGAATTGGGTGAATTCCCATAGATTTCAGTTGAGTTCCTCCCACCTAAAACTCCTCTACTGCAGCCTATGGATCAGCAAGTTATAGCTAACTTTAAGAAACTATACACCAAAGAACTGTTCCTGAAGTGCTTCCAGATGGTCTCAAATATAGATTTAATCCTTAAAGAGTTCTGGAAGGAATATTATGACATTCTTTCCTGTGTAGGGCTGAGAAATTCTGGGCCAATGTCTCTCTATGGATACTGAGATCTGCCTGGAAGAAAGTATAGCCAAAAATTATATAGGAGAGAGACTTTGAAGGCTGTCTAAAGAGCCTGAGCCTTCAAATGACCTTGGAGTTGATGACACAGTTGTATAGCAGAATCCATAGGCTTGCAGGTAGACAATGGTGATGTTGAGGAACTGGTAGAGGCACACTCGGAGAAAATGTCTACAAAAGAACTTCAGCAACTTCTGGCTGACCAACAGAGAATGGCAGCTGAGGAGCTTTCTGAAGAGGGGAATATCAACAATCAGTTCAGCAAAGTTATTCTTCTAAAATAAAGGAAATCCTGAAAAAATGGATAGAGCTACAAATATTTGCAGAGAAGACCCACCCAGACAGAGAAAAAGCCAATTGTTGGATTCACTTGCTTAATGACAATGTCATGTCATAATACAAAACGCTGTTAAAGAAATGACAGAAACAGACAACCTTAGACGAGTTTTTAGCTCTGAAAAGGTGAACCAGAGGCAGGTCCTAGTGGGCTACAGACTCTCCCAAAGACTGAAAGGACACCAGAGCCAGATTCCTGATGTTCTTATGGAAGGGGACTCTCCTTCCAAATAATAACCACCTTCCATTTTCATCCTCCCTTCTTGCAAGCCAAAGATGTCAACATGTATGGTGAGTACAATATGAAATTGTTTCTGGTAAACTAGGCACATTTTATAACTTTTTGGTGAATACGCTAGGAAAATTATTGGTGTTTCTGGTAAATTACGCACATTATACAACCCTTTTTTATTATGAAAAGGTTAATGAAGGGATGTGTTAGGAGGTTCGGAATGCATTATGGATATTTCCATTATTTCATATGCAAAAAGTCTTGACTTACAACCAAGTTGAGTTGCAACCAGCCCTCGGTAACAAATTGAGTTTGTAAGTCAAGGATCCATTCTGCGTGTGTGTGTGTGTGTGTGTGTGTGTGTGTATTAGGTAAATACATTCATTACATATATAAAATTGGTATTTTTCTTCAGTTTTTTAACTCATTTAAGACAAGTTAGCTAAAAGAGCAATTTTATTGCTTTTCAAAGAGTAAACTCTTCCTTCTTTTCATTCTCACAAGCTATTAGCAGAGGCTTAAAAATTATTAGTGGTGTACTTAAAAATGTTTCCCCAATACAATTAATAAAGTGGAAATGATAAGAAGGTAATCAGTACTTACACATAATGTTCAACAAGAGAACAACAGTAATTCTTCATTTAAGGCAAGTCTCAAAAATTACTGGTAATTGGGCTGGAGGTATAGTTCTGTGGTAGAACACTTGCCTAGCATGTATGAGACGCTGAGTTCAATCCCCAGCACCACCAAACCAAAAAAACCACAACAACAAGAAAACCCTACTTATACTACTAAATGTTTGGAAGTATGTTCAGTGTAATTTCCTTATTGATATCAGAAGCTTTAAGCACAGGCTAAACATTAAAGATACTGAGAAAAAGTCAACTGACCCAGATCAAGTATTTTTTCCATTCTGTAACCTTATTTACCCTTTATGGAAAATTTACATTGACATATTAATAGAACTGTATCTTAAAAGAAAGTGGGAAATGTATTTTAAAATTTTATGTTCTTGCTATAGAAGAACTATTTAAAAGGCAGCCCTTTTAACCCTTACTTTGCATGTTAAACTGTATTATTCTGAAGTCTGACAGAATTCATTCATTTTTAGCAAAGTCAACAGAATTTTTTATACATGTGATATATTTGGTACGTATTTAAGTACTGCTTTCTAAAATATTACAACAGGTGTTAAACACCTGGGATTCTCAGTTACAAATATACTACTATACACATACATAGATAGATACATATAACATATGCTAGAAATATGGCTATAATATACCAAGTCTATATAAGCACACACACAAAATATCTCTGTCAAGAAAGAGAAAATATATGCATAAATTTATGCAAAAAATACAAGTTTAACTATCGGTTTAGGGGATTAGAAAAAACTTTGGTAAAAGTGCAACACTTGAACAATATTGTGAAAGACAAAATTTTATTCTGTGCAGTGACAAGAAGGGGTACACTAAAATGGGAAGAAAAAATTCCAGTGGAAAAACCGATACAGGTAAAGTTTAATAGAAGTTTATATAAATCATTAGGAAAATACAGTATTCTTTCAACAGAACATAAGATTTTATTATTAGTAGGAATTAAATCCATGAGAACGAAAACTTGGGACAAAGACTTCAAAGAGAGGCATGAAGGGTGTTTGAATTTAATTTGTAAGCAATAAGGAACAACAGCAGGTATGGTGGTGGCACATACCTGTAATCCCAGCACTCAAGAGGCTGAGGCAAGGAGGATAGACTTGAATTTGAGCCTAGCCATACAGTAAGTTCAAGGTCAGCCTCAACGACATAGCAAGACCTTGTCTCAAAAAATCAAACCAAAACAAAAAAGGCACAAATTGTTGGTCTGGGGTCAAGATGAAGTTTAAGAGCTATATTTTAAGAATATTAATGATAGATTTGTGTCACATGGACCAGAAACAACAGAGACCAACAAGACCAAACTAAAAGGCCATTGCAATAATCTAGACAAGAAATACTAAATGATAAAAGAAAGAAAGAAAGAAAGAAAGAAATACTAAATGATCAAACTATGATGGTTGTAGTAGAAATAAGGACACAAGGCTAGAGACAGTGTGGTGAACAGCTGGCTCCAAGATGGCTGCCAAAGATCTCTATCTCTATGTATTCCTGGCCTGGTGCAATTCTCTCCTTTCCATGTGTGCAGGACTTGCTTTGTTTCTATTTAACAGAATATGGTAAAAGTGATGGGATGTCACTTCCATGATTATTACATAGACTATAATTTCTGCCTTGTTGGCAGACTTGGCTATGATGAGAAGATAGTTCTGGTGGGCAAAGGAGAAGGGAATAAACAAGAAAAATCTAATGATTTAAATTTAGACGCTATGAACATGTGCTATTACTGGAAGTGAAAAAAAAACACTGGACTATTAAAGGCTATTAATAAACTTTCAGATCAAGGTGTTCAAGCGCTGAACAGTCATAAACATTATTCTCCAGTACTGTAAGAGAAAAACAAAGATAGGAGCCACATGCTGAAACTATTAAGGAAAGTACTCTAGATGTGTGGACAAAGCAAAAAGGAAAAAAGTGAAGCAGAAATAAAATCACAACACATAAGAGAGGCGAGCACCTAATTCAGTGTTTACCTCTGTCTTACAGTCTAAGCTACATTAGCCAAGTTAGTCCTTCCAGTATTCCACCCTGTCAATAATCTGATCTCACTCAACAGGCTTGAAACCAAGAGATCTTGACTTAGCGATTCCAAATAAAAGAAATTTTCTTTGCCTCACTTATACTATTGCCTTCAAGGTTCATGTAATTTAAAAACACCTTGAAAATGGGCTGGGGATTTAGCTCAGTGGTGCCACCACCTGCTTTGCAAGCACAAGGTCCCAAGTTCGATCCCTGGTACCAAAAAAAACCACAACACTTTGAAAAAAATTCTGTTTCCTTTAAAACTAAACCTAAGAAAGTTTTCAAATAATCATTACTAGTCATTTTTCCAAGTAAATAAGGATTAAATGTTTCTAAGATGCACAATGAACATATGAATGACAAAACAGAAAGTTAAAAAAATTCTTTAAAAATGTGTAACCTTTTTCTCACATTCTGCTTTTAAAATATGATATATCATAACTCTTGAAAAATGAGAAAGCCAAGTAAGAAACATTATAACTAAGTTCTATAAGTGTCTTACCTCAGAAGCGGTAGCTGGAATATTAACATTGCTTGCTTGTCCGTTCATTAAGTCCATGCTTCCCTCATCAGTCCCTGACCCTATGTCAGCAGCAACAGAGGACTGATTACTTCATGTCCAGGGCCACAGATACATTATTTCTATTTAAAAAAATATATAGAAAAGTTAAAATGGTGTTTTCCTTGAAGTTTAAGAAAACAAATCTGTGTCTACCACCATGCTAAGACATAAAATATTACAACTTTTTTAAACCCTATTTTAATTTCAGCTAAACTAAATCCAGATTGAAAATCTCTTTTCAAATGATGAGAAACATTGAATGGGCAGTACAGTGGACCCTCAAGTTACAACCAGCCTGACATAAGAACAACTTGGGTTAATTAGGTTAATGGAAGAGTCATCTGCCTCTTGTTATCTATAGCGTGTACACAAGTAAATATCCAGATCTCAGCTGTATGGACTTAAAACCAACTTGAGTTACAACCAGCCTCCGGAACCGATCAATTTCATAAGTTAAGCGTCCACTGTATTGACTAATTGTTACTGTCATATTCTTCCTGAGAGAAGTAAAAGCATTCTTTTCACTGATTAAGTGAATATTTTGAGAAAAAAGTCAACTGTGCAACGTTTTTAGTTAAGTAAATAGTAAGTATAAAAACCATGTGACAAAGTAACACATGCCATGATAAATTTTTGGAGAGCCAAATGACACTTCTAAATCAACAATACTGAATAAGCTTACCATTTCTAGTGATCTGTTTAAGACATACAAATACTTAAAACTAAGATATCACAGGGCCGGGGATTTAGCTCAGTGGTTCCACTGCCTGCCCCGGAAGCGCAAGGACCCGAGTTCGATCCGCGGTACCAAAAAAAAAAAAAGATATCACAAAAATATCACAATATATGCTAATTTATATAGGCCTTTAAAGTTTATTAATATCCTCACACCATGAACTCATTGATTTCCACAACTACTAATAACATTAATTGGGAAAGATATTTTAAAACAAAATATAACAATGCTATTATTATTACCATATAATACAAGAAATAGAACTTTTGTTAAGTGAGGAACTAAAAACAAGACTTGAACCATCTAAATTCTAGTCAAATATTCTTTCTATAACACCATGTCATCTGATCAAAAAATTCAGTGAGTGCTGGGGCCAAATACTATCTAACCAAAAGTAAGGTATCTTCAATACAAGAGGTGGTCAGTTGAACTTTAGTACCAGTGTGTTACTATTTTCAACTTGTTCAATGACTTGTTCGATGCAGTCACTCTGTTGCGAACTACAGTTCAGAGAAGGTGTATTTTAAAGTGTAACTCATAAGTCACAAACAAGAACATGAAATTTAGTCAGCTTTATTGGAATTTAGTGATCACATCCCTTCAAATTCCAGCTTTTTTTTTTTTCCAGTACCAGGAATCGAACTCAGGGACTCAAGCTTGCCAGGCAGATCCTGTGTTGCTAAGCTACATTCCTGGCCCCCAATTCCAGCTTTTTAAGATTGTGTTTCCTGACCTTGATGAAACTGTGTGAACTGAGTTTGTACTAAGAACACTACACTGAACTGTAAATATTATAGAGCTTATTATTTAAGAAACAATGTGCACAGAAAATGGCCTAAGAACAGACAAATGGGTTTATTCTCCATCATGATATCATGTCACACATCACTTTTAGTACAGAAATTTCTATCAAATAAAAACATGGTATGTCCCAATTGACCTCATTTACCAGATACGGCACCATGCGACATCTGGCTCTCCCCACAGTCAAAACGACCAAGGAAAAGCAAACAGTTTTGTTTATTAGTTCTTTTATTGGTGCATTTTAGGTATACAATTCATTTACATTTATCATTGAGTGCCTGATACATGATATATCTTGGGGGCCGGGGATTTAGCTCAGTGGTGCTGCACTTGCCTCACAAGAGCAAGGTCCTAAGTTCGATCCCCAGTACCTAAATAAATAAATAAATGTAAAACATGATATATCTTGGTTCTTATTTTTTTCCCCATTACCAGTGTGCCCTTCACCCCCTCCACCCTTCCCTATTTACATAGACTTTGTTCCCATTTTCTTATTTTCTCATAGTTTTTCCTTTCCCTCTTTTCCTTTCCCCTTCCCCTCCCTTCACTCCTTCGTCTTTGGACCTTTTTTCCTATTTCAAATTATCAATTATTCATTTTAATCATTTTAACCCTTGTTTACACTAACAGTTTCTCACACTAGAGAAACTATTCAGTATTTACATGTGTGTCCTATTTATTTCACTTAAGAGTATGGCCTCGATATGCATCCATTTAGCCATAAATGACTCTAGTTTTTTATTCTTTATGGCTGAGTAGTACTCTATTTTATAAAAAAACCCACATTTCCTTTATCCAGTTTCCAGTTGATGGGGACTTGGGCTGCTTGCAAGCTTTAGCTATTACAAACTGTGCCGCTATAAACCTGGGTACACATATATCACTGTGGTATGATTCTTTTAATTCTTTTGGGAGGATACCCAGCAGGGGAATAGCTGGGTCAAATGGGACCTCTAGTCCTAGTTCTTTGAGGTATCTCCATACCGATTTCCACAGTGGTTGCACCAGCCTGCACTCCCACCAACAATGAAGGGTTCCTTTCTCCTCACACCCCTGCCAGCATTTGTTATTTGTTGATTTCTTGATAGCAGCCATTCTTTCTGGGGTGAGGTGGAATTTCAGTGTTGTTTTCATCTATATCTCTCAAATGACGAGTGATGCTGAATATTTTTTCATATATTTGTTTGCTGCTTTTACTTCTTTGTCTGAGAAATGTCTGTTAATTTCAGATGCCCATTTTTGAATTGAGTCTTTGAATTTGGGGGGTCTGATTTTTTTCAATTCTTTATATATTCTAGATAGCAGTCCTTTGTCTGAGGTACAGCTGCTAAAAATTTTTTCCCATATTGTAGGTTGTCTGTTAGCTCTGTTGGTGGTTTCTCTTGCAGTGCAGAAGTTTAATAAAATGAAATCCCAGTTGTTGATTCTTTCTGCTAGTTCCCGTGCTGCTGAGGTTTTGTTCATGAAGTCTTTTCGGACATCGAGGCAGCCAGCCACAACAGTGCAACTAAAGATACTCACAAAAGAGAACTTCCAGAACCTTCAGAAAATGGCAAGAATGATGCGACAATTGTGTTCAAAGCAAGAGGATGTATTTGAGGGGAGAATAATGGTAATGTGCCTTTTACTGTAATTTTTAAAAATTAAAAATATTCACATATTTTTTATCATGTCTCATATTTCTTCCCACTTTACTGGATGTGAGAATATTTAGTTTTAATCTTTGCTTAACTTGCTGCAAGTACTACATCTCTTTCTAAAACAACTTCTTCCTCTCTTTAATATGATGGGGGAGGGGGACTTTTAAGGTCCTTCTTCAACTTTAAAATTTCTATAATATTTTTCATTTAAAAATGCTATTGCTATAAATTAGGTATTCTATATTATACTAACTTTAAAAACTGAGTTTGAGATATCAATAATTCCTCCAATGGTAAGTTCCTTTTTTCTGGAGAAGCAAAGTAGGATTTAAAAGTAATTTAAAAGCAGACTAGAAGATTACTTAGAGTTAAGCCCAAGAAAGCTGAATTTTTCTGTCCTATTTCCACACCTATAAAACAGGGATAATACTAAGTACCTTCTTAACACAGTTATGGTGGGGAGAAATGAGCTAATATACACATAAGCACTCAAACAGCACTGGTACATGATTAAGAGTACTATTATGGTGATGTGGTGAAGAGGTAAACTGTGTTGCTGTCTACTTAATTCTAAAAAGTTTAAATTCATTGGAGCCTTCTCGAAAGGAGAAAAGACAAAAAACCTTCAAAATGTAGCTCTAGGAACATGTTGACGAGTATCATTAAAATCCTAATTATAAATCTAATGAGTAAGAATGCCCCAAATCTGTTTCCTAGATGGAATACAACATGCTCAAGGTTTTGAAATGCTTAAAAGTTATTTCTTATGATAGCAACTTTCAGTTATATCTTTAATTTATCTTCATTTCTTCAGATTAGCCTAAGCACTTGCTAAGACCAGAACACTGTGCTAGAATTTTTAAGGTAAAAAATACATTTGTTTTTTAAAAAAATATATTTGAAGTAATGAGATTTCAAAACCACCAGAATCCATTTAGAAAACTGATGTAAAAATGAATAAAGCACAGATATACTGTAATTCCCTCCACTATACACCATCTCATTTTATTAGCTTCATTGTCTTTATTTTACACTACTATTAAAGATGAACTTGTTTTTACACTGCTGTAATATTTGTTTTCAGACAGGGTCTCACTATTCCATACAGGCTGGCCTTAAACTATTTAGCCCACCCTGGCCTTGAACTCACAGCAATTCTCCTGCCTCAGCTTCCCAGGTACTGGGAGATAATTCTAATTTTGACAATATCAGCCAGTTTGCAATGGAATGTTTTGAAATAATTTCATTTCATTCCATATTGTATGCATAGACTAGGTATGACATGAATTCATAAATCAAGACTGCCCCCTAGTGTGAAGAAAAAGATTTCAATTTTAATTTAATTATGAAAAGAATTTTATTTTTAACCCACTCTATCTATTAAATATATAAATGTTATTACCATTATTTACTGAAAGTGAGGCAATACAAGTTAGGAATGACATAATACATTTATAAACTATAATCAAAGAATCAAGGATCTTTTAAACAACCATTCAAATATTCCACAAAAACAGAGGTCATATTAAAATCCATTTTGTACAAACATAGCAAAACATATCCTTAGGAAAACATTCCTAATAAATACTAATAAATGTACTACAATTATAATAGCATTTAATATGCTGAATTATAAGAGGTTCATATAGTATAAAAATATTACAAATCCTGAAAGACAGAGACATGAGTTTATTTATTCTTTAGTGTGTCTCAAGGCAAATTAAAGATAAATACATGCTTTAACAGTTTATTTACTTTTCCTCATGCTATAAATGGCACAATCATTCATAATGACTACCAACATCACAAGGGCTTTATTATTAAATTCTTTGGTTTCTACCTACTCTTTTCAACTTCCGAAGACAGTTAACTTACTCTAGCTGTCTCTTGGATTTAAATC